TCGCCGTGCTTTGGCTGCGCATACACGCTCAACTCGCGAACGAAGCGTGTTCTCAGTTATGAAGCTCGACCCGGCAAGCCGCGAGAAAAAGAATTCCTGCCGGTGGCTTGCGAGATGTGGCAGCTGTTTGAGAAAACAGCCGTGCATTCTCGTCCAAGTAAATAAATTGCACCGGAGAACACGAGGACAATGAGTGTGCAGGCGAGCTGGTAAATGCTGATCACGTTCAAAATTACCCGAAGTGAGTCTGTGGTAAAAGACAAAACCTAGGTCCTAGAGGAAAAAAAAAAAAAAAAGATCGTGACGTTATTAGGCTTAGGTGGACATGGCAGCATTGCCTTTTGTGACCCTGCACGCGTGGGTAATCCTCCCCCACTGAGTACAAATAAAGCATTAGTACCCTTTTGATTCAGGTAACGTCATGCTCGCAAACTTTCGCATTCTGTCGCCATCACTAGCGTCTCGGCGAGATTCAGCTTTCTACGATTCGTAGTTTATTTACGCGGATCGAAAAACACGGTTCTCTCTTCTACAAAACATCCTCAGCTTCGAACACGTATGTCACGCAGACTGCTGCACAATGCGACGCTTATGAAACTCACAAAAATCACCAAAACACTTACCAGGACTTTTTCGCGGGTTCCTCGCTCGGTCCCGTCGGCGACGGGAAGCAGAAGCGTCGGTACGGTCGGTACAGCAGACTGATGGCATCCACAACTACGGTCACCGCTGGCGAATGCCTCGAAGTTGTCCGCATAGAAACGAGGAATGTGGAGGAGGTCCTCGGAGGTCGTTTTCTTGCCTGGTGCAACGGAACCATTCGCGTCTTCGCGAACCTCGCTTCGAGAACGGGATGAAGTGGGAGCCTCGGGAAGAAAACCGGTAGACGACGGAGTGACGCAGTAGCGTCGCCGCGCGGGCACATCACTCCCGCGTAACAAGGCAAGGAGAAAACATAGTTCGCTCGTTTTCAATCAATTTTAGCTGTATTACGTCACCTACATCCTAAGATTTGACGTGGTTGTCAAAATATAATATGCATGTGTCTAAAAAGAGCAATATTAGCAACTTTCGGAATCTCCACGAAATTCACAATTCTTATTGGTTGAATTTGAAGGCGGTGGTGGGGACACACGATGGACTCCCCAAGAGGAAATAGTGCCTGCGTATTTCTTTTGCTGCGAGTTTATTTCGGCGTCTTGCCGTATAGAACAATATGCTTTCAAAAACAAACTTCTCCAAAAAGCACTTGAGTGCCCCTTTAACAAAAACCTTGGAGCGGTAGATAACAATTTCAAAATGTTTTTTATAAGAGCAGCGGGCGATATATTTGAGACGTGAACTCATCGAGCAGGAAGTTAAGATGCTTGCCACTGAAACTTCGTCGATTTTAGCGTACGAGGCAAGGTGCGACGAACGTGGCTTAAACGAAGATGTACAAGCGCTGTTAGGAGCTGAGTGTGAGCGGCCCGGCAGAGCTCTTAAACATTTGGAAACCGTTAAGGGACACTTGGCGCGTTTTCGTTAAGATGCTTGCCATTGAAACGTCGTCGATTTTAACGTATGAGGCAAGGTGCGACGAACGTGGCTTAAACGAAGATTTGAAAACTCCTTTAGTAGCTGTGTGTGAGCGGCCCGGCACAGCTCTTAAACATTTGGAAACCGTTAAGCAGTCTTGTACACGTTACCAAAAAAGAGTAATCGATTACAATTACTATTACTCTTGGCTAAAAAGTAATCGATTAGATTACCTGATTACTCGACGGCAAAAGTAATTGGACATCACTTAAAGAAGTAATCGTTACTTTTCCGATTACTTTATTGTGTGAAGACACATCTTTAGCGCTCATAACAATGAACTACTTCCGACCTATATTTCACATTTGCACAAGTATTGAAGAAGAAAGACTGGCTCCCTCTTCGTCGTCGTTGCACCTTTACAATACGGATACAAGCATAGAATTCGTTTGAAGACGTTTAAGGATTTGGACGTTCGCCAGTGTGTGCGTGTGGGGGGGGGGGAGGGGGGTTGAGCGGGGGGGGGGGGGGGGGGGGGTTCTAGATCTTGTTAAAGGGCAACTCCATTGCATTTTTACAATTTTTGGGTTATGATCTATTTAATCAAAGTCGGCGACCCTGAATCACAGGATATAATTTGTTTTTCGGTAGTGTCTATAGTTTTGTACATATCTCCAATCCAAGTATCGTTACGGCGGCACGGCGAAACCGAAACTACCGGCTGAAGCAGCCAGGCAACATTGATACTAGTGGCGCGTCGTCGGCATGACCTAGTTTTGGTCCCGCGCTCCCGAGCCGACGCACCGACAATGTCGGCTCAGCCGCACGTGGGGTTTCAGAACAGAAGGTAAGCTGCACAATTTTTTTTTTTGCCGCTTCACTTTGTTAATATGCACCAAATGTAGTAAGTTTTAGTTTACATTTATAAATTTGCCAGCCAAAAAGCGAATCCGACTGCTATAAATATGACGCGGTCAGTGCCGGCGCAGCGTGACTGTATTTGTTTCTTGCTCGCGGAGCGAGAGAAAAAGGAATGATGGGGGATATAGGGAGATATGTATCCATAAGCGGTCTAAGTTGCTAAGCTAAGGTGCTTTATGTGCACGCTAGTTAGATCAGCCGCGACGTGCTGCGTCCGCCCGATCGTGCTGGAGCACCGGCGGACGGTACGCGAATAGCGACGGGACCGTATCGTTCTTCAAAGACGCGTATTTCGTGGAGAAACACGCAACAGTCAGCAGCCACAGATACCGTGAGTAAGTGTCTGACGTAAAGTGCTGGGAGCAGAGCTTCGCGTTGGAGCTCGGAGTCGGCGGTCTTCCGAAGTCTATCCGGCGAACGGCACCGACCCACACCTTGTGCCTCTTCCGGTCTCTTGGGAACTTGTGGAACCGCAACTCCGGGTTGCGCACCGGGTTGTTGGTGCAATGAACAGCACTACAAGTCGTGCTCGACATTGTCCAACGCGAGTCCGGCGAGTCTCTCCGGCTCCACGACACGCGCGTGAGCGAGTAGCACCACTTCGCTCTCTTCCGCGCTGTCGCAGAAGCAATGCTGGAGTTAAATGAACTGCCTGGATGCTAATAAAAATAGGAGAACACAGGATAATGTGGTAGACACCTCTTTTTGTCAGCAGAATCGCAGAATGCCACGGGAAAAGAAGCGTCCGCGGCGTCCGCCCGAGAGCGTAGGACTAGACCTACGTCATTGCCCAGTGTTGCTTCACTAGCTCACCGGTGCCAGCGTTGCTCACCCGCTTTCGAGCCGCTAACCGGGCCGGGAGAACACTTCTAATATTGGTTTTAATCGGTAATGCGGTGTCGAACTGACGTGATATTTTGGGTATGGCCGTATTTTGCCCCCCTAAAGCGATATCAGTCATTTCGGTAGGGTCGACTTTTTGAGTGGAGTTGCCCTTTAAGCTTGAGCAAGGGTTGTCGCTCAAAGTTTGCGTCGCTCATTTTATTATTCACATGTGGATGAGCTCGCATATTATCCAAAACAGCAGCAGCTCCAGGATTTGAAACGGATCATGTGTAGTATCTATTAGCGGAAGAGATCGCCCCAACCACTTCTCAACTCGAAACATTCTTTGTCACACACCACGTAGGGGAAATGGGAAATTTTTCTACTGCCTTTTTTATATTTTGCATCCGTTTTAGGTATTATTCGGTTCTGGTTCTAATACGGGCTCCGAGTAGGTACCCTAAGCAGGATTTTTTATTTTTTTTATTTCTGTGTGTGTGTGCGTGAGGGGGCTAGTTTGAACGAAGGATTCACAAACCTACATTCTGCTTCCTCAAACATCGCCCTGAATGGCCTTTGTCACGCACTGTGGCTTCCCTAGGGCTTCCCACTCCCCAATCCCAGCTCGAAAAAAAAAAAAAAAAACAAAAAAAAACGGATATTTCACAGAAACTGTACATAGAAAGAGATTGACCTCGTTTCCTACAGCTCCGCAAAAATCTTTCTTTTTTTCCGTGCGAAAAAAAAACTTTACTTTTGTATTGCATAAAAAAAAGGCGTTTACTGGGGGGGGGGGGGGGGGTCCCGTGGACAAATTGTAACGGTTACAAGTAATTTTGTTACTTCAAAAAGTAATCAGATTACGACTGTGATTACTGCTTAATAAAAGTAACCAACTGATTACAGAATTACTCTAAAAATTAATCGATTACAAGTACTTTGATCACTTGTAATGCTTACGGTACAAGTCTGCCGTTAAGGGACACCTGGCGCATTTTCGTTGAAAGCGTTACCGCGTATCCATTGTTTGGGCTTGACCACAGAAGTACCTGATGGAAGAGCAGCAGACTAAACGATCTTTGGCGGATGAGAAAAGTTTCGCACTTCGCAACAAAATTGGAAAGATCGTATACAACAGTGATTAACACGAGCCTAAGTAGTTTATGGCAGGCTTTCGTCGCACACAATAGGCAACTTATTGAAAGCCAAGTTGAAGGAAGGAAGAACACTATCGCCCGAATTCAAGAACGCCACTTCACTTTCCGCCTTTCCTTACCTTACGTAAGGAAAGGAAATGGGAAAAGGAAAGGAAAGGGGCCGTTTCGTGTCAGAAACGCGTCTCGCCCTTTCCTTACGTAAGGAGCAGACCAAAGGCTCCTTCGTCGTCCAAGGATACTATGAGCACGTCTGGGGTCGAGACTGCAGTACATTTTATTGTTAGTACTCTAAAATTCGTGCTGAGAAAAACTACAATATCAAATAATTTGTAGTGTAATGTGTTCTGGGGTTCGATATACGTTAAAATACGATTCTAATAATTTAAAGACTTGAATGTTTAGCGGATTTTGACAATATCGTAGTCTCGTCTGGCAACGCACAGCGCAGCTCGGCGTCGCGTTCTGTATTCTTGCTCGTCGTTCTCTTTTTATCGTTGCTTTTCCTGCTGTTTTGCTTTCCCTTTTTCCAGTCACGTTTGTGCTCTGATTTTTTAATTTACGTTGAGCGCCATGGCGGAGCCGAAGAAAGTTTTTTTTTTCTGAAAATGAGAAGTTTCTTCTCGCGGAGCTGGTGCCGAAATACCCAGTCATCGAGAACCGATGTACAAACAAGTCATCGACAGAGGCAAGGGCGAAGGCGTGGGAGCTCCTCACGATCGAATATAATAGCAACCACGGGGTCCGAGCACGCGATTCAAAACAGCTCAAGAAGTGCTGGGACAATTTAAAAACAAAATGGAAAAAGGAAGTATCGTCCGACAACAGAGACCGCATTGCAACAGGTGAGTTTGCTTTTCATAACTACGTTGAATGAGGAGTCCGTGTGAGCCGGTGTAAGCTTGACGTCATAAACCCTGTATCGAGAGGAAATTGTGTTTAGAGCTTTCTGTTTTAACTTCGCCTCGTGTTCTATTCGTTTCAGGGTTTATTTAACGTGCTGGCAGCTGCATATCGGTAGTGTCCGATTCAGGTATCTAGTGTTACGCGAAAACCTTTGCTATCGAGAACCATAGGTTGTACTAGTGAAATCGGAGAGGCGTCGATCCCGCATTGCAGTGGCGCCGTCGTCTGTGCGTGTGTAAAAAGTGTGTACTCAGTAAAAACTTCCCTTTAAACCCACTTGGAATTCCAAACGGTATTAACTGGAACCAATGTGGTTTAGTTGGTTCCAGCTGGCAACATTCTTCTAATGAAAAAAAAAAATCAACTTTAACAAAAACTAAGCATTAACATGAGTTCTGATTGTTACTGGTTCCAATTGGTTCCCGATTATTTTCTCCACAGACCCAGCCGGTACCAATAGGATTTTTCAGTTGGGAGTATATGAGGAATAACAGTATAAAGTTAACATTAGGTCTGTTTGATTCCACCAGAAAGTTCCGAACTAGTTCAGTGCGAGTTCAGAAAAGTGTAGTAGCAGTGAAGGAGTCGTGAAGCGGCGATGCAAAGCCAGCCTGGCGGACTTCCAGACAAGGTTTTAAGAAGAGTTCCATGCGTGCAGGCTACGAAACGCAGATTTTCCGAGAGCTGAAGGCAAGGACGTAGCACCCTCTTCAAAAGGGCAGACCTGAATTCACCAGAGTCGGACAGAGTAGCTCAGGTCAGAAAACAGTACCACCCAAGATACCACGTCTACCTCATCAGCCGCACCTTTAAGACTTTTGAAAAGCTAGCCTGGGTTGCTTGCCTCATCGAGGAAGCTATTCATGCCGAGCGGAACTGTGCCGCCGCCACCAGCGATGCACGCGCTCGAACCGACATGGCGGGGCCCCGAGGCATCTACGCAAGTGGACTGTCCGAACGAGACCTCCCTTCCCCACCACGTCAACCAGGAGGGTTGGTGTGGCATGCATGGCGTTCTACCGTGCGGGGTAAGCGGATGTTTGTCTTCATCGAGGGGTCCCCTGAGGTCACTGCGGGGCCCATGAAAGTCCCGAGCGGGGTTCGCCACGACAGGTGGGATGTCGTTGGCCGCGCCCTATCGAAGCTGGGGCCCAACGGAGATTACCACCCAAGCGAACCATCTCCATCAGTCTGCTCCTGCAAGTGCTGGGAAAAACTGGCACGCTGCGGTCGAAATCCCGCAGCCATGCAGCATTGACCCCAGCCACAACAGAACAAACCCTCCCCTTGACAGCCGTTCGCAAGCCTAGTGGAGGCCCTCCCATTGTGGTCCTTTACTCGATCACTGAAGGCGGTCGGACGGGCACCTCAGTGCGAGTGGCCTAAGCAGGCAACTGTCGTCGTCGGACTGCTGCTATGAGTGCAAGCAGCCCGGACATCACCAAAACCATTGTCCAAGACTTCTGGACACTACAAACAAGAGGTGGCACGAGACGGCAGCAAAGACCCGGAACCAGAACAACCAGGGAAACTACTACGGCCAGCGACGCTGAAACCAGACAGCCACTCGCCGACTGCCGTTACAGTCCCTGGGGGCAGCGAGGCCGCAGCACAGATTCCATCAGTATGTTGAATCCAGCCCGAGCCTAACATCATTGAACTGCGCATGACGATTTCGCTGCTTGATGTTCCCGTTGTCGCACTTCTGGATTTGGGGGCCGCTACCTCGTTTATAGGGGATTTCGTTTTTTAAATCTTCGAAGCAAACAAGATAAGCCTCCGGGAATACGAAACCCATTTGCAGGTAGCTTCTGGTACAGCGATGACAGCTGGAGGAGCCGTGACGCTGCAGACTCTGTGTAATGGCAAGAAGTGGCATCAGTGATTTCTTTATCTGCCAGAACTCGTGGTAACCTCTACAGGACGGCCCCGCGGACCCTAACAGCAATGCAGCACAATGGACTCCTGTACCTGGACCTTGCTTGAGGATTGCCCGTCTGTCAGGGAAACGTTGAACAAATTAGGCGAGCGTGACCTCGAACGCGCCATCTCGCTCGTCTAGCGGCGCCGACTGGACCTTCTACGCCAGTCTGCCCAGCAGCGCCATCCACCCCGACGCCCACAACGACGACACTGTCATCGACATGCCAGTGAAGTTTGAGAGGGGGGAGCGGCAGCTCCCCAGCCAGTTGCCCGACTACAGGGCACAGGTGGTGAACTTTCCCTCGTGGTGGCGGAGTCAAGCCGGCCACGCACGCATTGCACGCGCCGCCTAGATAAGGCGGATCAGAGGCGGCGCGCAGACAGTCGCTGGCGAAACTCAAGCGCTGCCAGTGCTTGTTGGTTTTCTGGTAGTATTTTTCATTGTCTCGTCCATGTCCAATTGAATGTAGTTTCTTGATGTTCGAATCGTTGGCTCCGTGTTATTCCTCCGGGTCGGGTATGCAGCAAGGCATGCCGAGGATAACTCGTGCCGCACTGAGATGAATCAAACGCGGCCATGCAGGGGCCGTGCAACCTCCGGTTAAATCGAATGCGCCAGTTCCTGCACTGCGCGAACTACTTCAGCCAGTTCAGGCGAATCGAACAGACCTATTGTTATGATAACGTTGTATTGTGCAGCACACAAAACTAGGGCCAGGCGTTGTCTGTGGTGGGCATCCCTTTCCCAAGTTAAATTTGTGTGACTGTACGTTGCGCTTTTACTCTTCACTGTAATATTTGCCGTTTTCCCGAAGTCTGTGGAACCTGCCTACAAAGTGGCGTGTATGGTATTACATCTCTTTAGGAGGAGGACCACCAGGAGCTGGCTTGAGCCAGCTTTCCGTACTTGTGGGGGCTGCAGCCCCACACATGGCCAGGCGGCTGGTCAACGGCGGCGACAGCGACGGCAGGCATGCCGGCCAAGCACTCTTTAGCGTGGCCGACATCCTGGAGCCGATGGTAGTGCAACGGGCTGATGAGGAGCTCTCCTTGGAAGGCTTCTCAGGTAAGGGAAGGAAACCTTCCAGAGTTCTCTGGGGGTCGGCCTCCTGAAGGACGGTAACCCTCAGCTGCTATGTTCTACAAGGTGTTTGTAATTGATTTTACTGGACTGAGAGGCACACGTCCCTCAGTCCAGTAGATACTTCGGAGAAGCATAACGCGAAAGAGATTGAGCAAAAGAGGGAAGAAACAAATCAGACGCAAAGTAAGGCCTATTTACTTAGTCGCATTGCTCCGCATTTATTCCACTGTTTTCGATACAATGCTTTCGCCGGTGGTTTGCGCAAAAGTAAAGCTGACTGAGGCTCGATAACTACTTTGCAAGTGATATTGTACCAACTTATGCATTTATGACCAAGATAACTTGCAATTTTGGCTTTTGGAATATGGAAGGAATGTAAAGTAGAATAACAAGTAGTGAAATGTTTCTATTCCTAAAAAGTCGTCTTACTTAAAACAAAATCAGCACAACTGGTACCAGATATTCATCCCTTACAACACCGTTGCATGTTTCTCTGCCAATATTACTGCCAGCCATATTTGTATAAATGTTAGTGCAACTTCTGAGGTTGTTTTCCGAACGAAATAGCTCGCGTGACCTGTCACACCAAAGGGAATTTTCAATCGCAAGTGCTGTGAAAAAGCACTTTGTCCACTGATCGACATCTGCCAAGCTTTCCCCTACTGTCTACCAGTTTTGCTGGTACAGAATCTTCTGGTGACTACTGTGCGAAATGTTTACATATCGGCATACAAGCTGCAGAAAGCCGACCTTTCACCTGTGTGAAATGGAAGAATGCATGGAAAGTCCATTGAGTAAATATGAATAATCCTACAAAAGTAGTTTTCTGACAGCTCGCAACTGAACACGCCGTAATGGGGTAAAAATGTGAATATCAAGGCCCACACTGTCGCATTGTAGGGCTAACGATGTGCTTGATGAGCAGGTACCTTGGATGAAATGTCAACAATCCGACCATGATGATGCCTGCTTCCTTTTCCTTGTTGGGAGCTCCGTGACGCGGTTTTCGCATTCGGCGAGTAGGTTCATGGCAAAGTTGCCATCATGCGCAGCCACGTAGCTTCCGAGAACGTCGAACACATCCAGTACACGTGCCATGGATGGCGGAGGCTGCAAGTCCGGCACGTCGTCTTCATCTGACTGCGCCTCGCCGCGGACACTTTGTATAATGTCCTCGTCACTCACTTCTTCATGAGCGATAACATCCATGTCAGCGTTGATGAAATCTTCCAGCGCGACACCGGATGGCGCAGTTCCGGCATTCTGAAGCGCAGCCCAAGAAGTAACTGCCTGTCTCGGCGGACGCACTGTTTCCTTATCCTCAGCAGAGTCGGCGTCTGGGTATTCGAGCTTGAAGCCCGCATGTGTTAAACAGTTGGCGATGACTGAACGTTTGGTTGCAGTCCATGCAGCAGCCATCATCTGCAGCGCGATGTAGAGATCCAACTTGGTGTCTCGACCTGCGTGCACGTTTAGTAGGAGACGCTGCATCACTCGCTGGCGGTAGGCACACCTGAGGCTTCTAATGACACCTTGGTCAAGGGGCTGGATTACTGAAGTGCAGTTAGTTAGAAAGTACTTAAGCTTCACATTTGTGAGCTTAGCATCCGGAATTCAGTGAGCGGAGCAATTGTCCAGCAACAAGCAAACCCGCCGCCCTGCCTCCTCATGTCGCAGTCAAACCTTTCGACCCATTCCGAAAAAATTGCCCGCGTCATCCAAGACCGGCTGTTGGCCACATACTTGACGGGAAGACTCCTGTTCCCTTTCAAACAACGGGTCCTTGCACTCTTGCCAATAACCAGCTGTGGACGCTTGTCGGATCCGTCCATGTTGGTGCACAGCAGTATGGTCACGCGCTTTTTACTGTGTTTTCCACCATGGCAGCGCTGACCTTTAATTTCCAGAGTCTTGGACGGCAGCATCTCATAGAAAAGTCCTGTCTCGTCGGCGTTGTAAATGTCAGACATCTCGCAGTCATTCAACAAGGCAGAAACGTTTGTTGACATCCAAGCAGAAGCATTGCCTGTGTCTGCCGATGCCGACTCGCCACTAAGCGTCTTGCCGACAATGTCATGGCGGGCCTTGAACCTGTTGAGCCAGCTGGTGCTAGCTTTGAAGTTGTCGATACCCACCAGGCAAGCGAAATTTAAGGCCTTCTGCTGCACGACGCTTCCGCTGATGGGTATCTTCTTTGCCCTCGGTTTCACAAACCATGTGTACACAGCCTTGTCGAGCTCTTCGTGCGCCGGCGGTGTCAATTTCGTTCGTTTGGCCGATGTCCCCGATGCAAGAGCCTTTTTGACTGACTGCATCTTTCGACTTTAGGATCGTCGACAACGAACTCTGAGAAATTCTGAACTTTTCGGCGATGACAGCTTTCTTCTGTCCACTTGCAACTTCGGCCAGGATGCGAGCTTTATCTTGTAAGGATAAAAACTTTTGCGTTTTGCTTGGCAGTGCCATCATGCCATGCGCAAAAAGCCCCTGTACCGTTGTTGTCGTCGTACCGTACTGATAAAATGACAACCGACAAAGGAAGAAGAAAAAAAAAAAGACTGAGCTTTGGCTTTAAATAGTCTGCAGCAGGGCGTTATCAAGCCAAGAGCTAGAGAAACATTGGTGCAACAGTGTAGGAAGGCCAGCCTCATCGCCGTCTTTATGAAGTAATGGCGGCCTGCACGCCCGGTCAACGTTGCGCTCGGGTATCGGTTATAGTGGCAGTTTCTGGTGGTTCAACATGCGATTTAAACTTTATAGTAGACATATTTTATGTGCCAAAATGCACCAGTGCTCGAAAGTTTGTTTTTCGTATGGAAAATTAACCATTCAAACTTCGAATTGCTCTGTAAAATTTTGTTCAAGCGGAACAGCACAAGATTTTGTTCGCCGTAGTGAGAATTCTTATGCATTGACTCCTATGGGCCGTTGACGGGGAACCAAAAAATATTCGTTGAACCGGAAATTTCGTTGAAGCGGCGTTCGTTGAAGTGGGGTTCGACTGTAGTGGGTTTCGTGTTAACACAGGAAAAAGGGTATCTTGCACTTCAGTATGTAACCTCCATTAGTCCTGTAAGCCAAATTAGTGTTGAAAAAGGATGTCCAGCATACCTATAGGGAATAGAGCCTTCAACTTTTTAAATTCCTATAGTTCCTATTTTGTCAGCAGACTTCACATATTAGAGATCATAATGTGATGTGAATGTATTCTTTGTTTCTCATACTGTGTGCAGATTCTGCTATGGGTGAGCCAGAGAGCCAAGTTTCTGTGGTGCCTAGTGGTGGAGCAGCCCCCATGGCTCGAGTGCCCCTCACAGCTACGGTGCAGCTCACAGCTGCAGCTGGACCATCTGCAGCAGCAAGTGATCGCCAGGGAAGTCCCCACCGGGAGGCGCCTACTCGCGTTGGAGGGCGCTTTGGAGTGCTGGAGCGCACGCTAGGTGCTGAACAAGATGTTCGGCTTGGTCATCTCACGCGGGACCAAGAAAGGAAGGACGAAGAACACGACCTCCGCCTTACGATCCTAAAAGCCGAGCACGAAATGAGGCGGAGTGAGCATAAGCTTAAAATGAAGAAAATTAGAAACGAAAATAGGCTCGTCCTGCTCAGAATTGCTGAGGCAAAGAAATTAAACAGATAGAGGCCACAAATAGGAGCGTTGTGTGCAACATTGCCTGGCTAAAAAAATAAACAGTTAAAGGCCCTTTGTTTTGAGATCTTTTATTCGTTCCATATTTCTTCAAAAAATGAGATTCCACAAGAGCATCTACGAGTGTTACATAATTAACAATTTATGCCATGGCATGGGTCATTGGAAAAGAGTGTTATCTATGCTCTGTTTACCAGTTACTTCAACCAGGATGAAAGCCTTCGTCATGAGATAAGAAGTTTTGAAGGTGCTTTCTTTCCCTGATTGCTTGTGTTGCCTGATGGCAGCTTTGAGGCACATGACTGCAAACACACTGGCCAAGTTAATAATAATAATAATGCTTTATTTGATTTGTGCCCCAGAAGAACCAATAGGTTATAATGTGGCACATAAAATATAATACAAAAGAAAAATCCATAAAGATGTCTGCCACTGTTACAAAATATGGTGTGGGTCCATAGCCGAAAAGGTATAAATCAAGCTCTCGTTTAAAAACTAAAAAATCTTAAAAAACATCAACATGAGGCGACAATTCATTACCACAAATTTGCATCTGCACCAATCGCGACAATTGCAATTGCGCAGAGGGATAAAATACACTCATTCCTCTAATAGCACGAGCTGGAACATGATATACCAGCAATATCACCAATTCACTCTCTATATGGCCGTGAACAAATTTATGTAAAAATAAAACATCACAAGCAGTCAGTCTTTTTAATAAATTGTGCAAAGAAAGTTCTCTAAGAATGTACTCATAGTCGTAATAACATCTTCCAAAATACCTATCAACAATTGGAACAAATTGTTTTTCAACCCTTTCAATTCGCTCTGCTTCAACTGCAGTCAGCGAATTCCGTACAGCACTACAAAACTCGGGTCTAACTAGCAACAAGGAGCAAAACAAGCGGACGACACATAAAGAATTTGAAAAGTTACGCGTCACACGTGATATTCCCATCGCTCGAAAAGCTGAAGCAACATTCTGACTAACACGACTTGAAAAGGAAAGATTGCTATGAAAATAAACGCCGAGGTCACATACTTGTTCAACCGATCGAATAGTACAATTGCCAAGTATGTACGAGTAAGAAATGTATTTGCGTTTTCTACACACAGTGAGTACATTGGTTTTAACTGGGTTAGCAAGTAAAAAATTTTCAGAACACCGTTCAGAAATGCGTAATATTTCATCCTGTAAAAAAACACAGTCATCTTGTGATTGAATTTTCGTAAAAAGTTTGATGTCATCCGCATATAAAAGCATCCACATTGTTTACGCACAAGTTTCGATCATTGATAAATACAAGAAAAAGAAGTGGCCATAGGTTTGATCCTTGGAGGACACCGAAAGAGGGTGCAAGAACTTAAGTAAAGTGCCTAGCAATAATTGTGTTTCTCACGTTCGTTCCTGTGTCGGCTGGAAGCCGCGGCAACGGTGGCAAGGGCCTTCTGCGCCGGGGCTTTGGCAGTGGGGGCAGGGGCACGGCTGGCGGACAAGGGTCCAACAGTTGCCGTCCCAGGTTGTGGAGAGCTGCGCAGGCCGTGATGATGCCTGCAGATCGCGCGGGCTTGTGCTGAAGCCTCATGTCGAGGCATGGAAAGCGCCGCTTCCAAACCCCGAATGCCCTCTCGATGCTGTTTCGAGTTTTGATATGGGCCTTGTTGTACCTGCATAGAAAATTTCGTTTTGTGTATAGGCAAGTTCCCCAACTTGGTGAAAATAGTCTTGTATTCTCAGGTTCCTTTTGTGTTGTGATAAAACAGACGAAACTTGGCCATACATAAAAGTGCAAATTCCAAATTGAGCTTAAAGATGCAATGTTTGTGACTCCTGTAGCATGTGTTCCTTTTTTGTCCCGTTATGCCTTCCTTGCCTTATTACTCTTGCTTGTCAGTGCATAGTCGCAGATTTTAACTTCTGGAATGCTGCTTATGGTTCAGCACTTGTGTTAGCTCGTCGAAATAAAAGTTCAGATTGTGTATAAGAATTTACCATGTAAGAATTTACCACGATAGGAATTAACAGCTTGAAAAACGAAGACAACAGAAGGAACACACACACACACAACAGGACAAGTGCTGTACTGGCAACTCTTGTGTTCCTTCCAGTTGTCTTCATTTCCTGTGCGGTTAATTCCCATCACATTCTATTTTTAGAAGCTTGCAGTAGCTTTTAGCTGGAGTCGAGAGTGGAATGAAGCAAAGTATAGCCTGCTTATGCATGATTGATGAGAGCATGTAGGAATCACGACATTGGACTCCCGATCTGCATACTCACAAGTGCATCGTCACCTCCGTCATCAGCTTTGTATGACAATGCCAACTTATAAGCACTAAAACTGTTTACGCATAAATAAGCTGTGCAATCCTGACACCTATTTTTCTGCTGGGGTATAGTGCGAACAGCTTACCTGTCATGAGGGCTGCCTGCCTTGCCTGGATCTGCAAAGGGGGTCATCAAATACGGTGTGCAGGCATAGCCCATGTCCCCAAGGAGCACCCCGGTCATCACTGCTTCCTCGTAGAGGACCTTGGCTCGACAGTTATCAAAAATCCTACTGTCATGGACGGAGCCAGGCCAGCTTGCGACGACGTCGAAGAACTGGAGCTCGGGTCCTGTGATGGCCTGTAGATGCATATACACATTGGGAATAAATGTGGAGTTCAGTTTTTTCTTGAAATGAGTCACATCTTGACACCGAAGTTTGGAACTCTCTTCTTACCTAAATTATGGCTTGTCTAAAAATCTAAAATATTGATGCATTAAATAGAAATATTAAGCACTTTGCAGACATTTCCCCTTTCGATATGGATATGCAAAATAAACTACTCAGTGGAAGTTAGTTAACAGTTAAGCCTGGGTGTGTTTAGTTCGCTAAAAAAATCAAGTGAGTGCTTCCCTGCGTCAACACTCCTTTCATAGCAGCATCTTTGAAAAGTATGATTAATGACGCGGGACATATATACGTTTCTTGCGAGCACATAAAAATTAAAAAAAAAGAAAAAAATATATATATAGAGATCTATGAAGGGAAATTAGCGCACATCGCAAAACTTCTCGAGTCGCTCTTACCTGCACGTTGATAGAGAAGTACCCTTTCCGGTTACGGAATACTTCAGCGTCGTCGCCGCCGGGGCTCTTTATCCTCACGTGTGTGCAGTCAATACAGCCGCTCACTCCCGGAAACTTTCCGATCTTGTAAAAAGCGTGCGTTACGCTGCGGCGCCCGGTAGCATCGGGAAACTGTACCACTTTTGGGAAGAGTTCCTGTATGATCAGGTCGGTGATGTTGCCGACGACGCGACACACAGTGGGCTGGGAGACGTTAATCAGATCGCCGATGACCGTCTGAAATGCACCTGCCCCATAAAAACGCAGTGCCACCAACAGCTGGAGCATAGGCGAGAGAGGCTTCCCGCGATCGTCGGTGCTCGGACGAATGCACAAAAGGCACAACAGTTCTCGCACCGTCGTTTTGGAGAAGCGATAGCGTGCCGAGAATTCCCGATCACTGTAAACCTCCATAGGGTTTCGCCGATCCCTGAGCGGAGGACGCACGATAGGTGGGACCGGGTAGATTTCTCCGTTGCATAATTCGGCTGCCCTACACCAATAGTCAACAACACTTTCGAAATCATCGTAATCATCGAGCTCCCGAAACGTCGCCATGTTGCAAGTAGAAAAGGAAAGGAAGCATCGAAGGTAGCTACGTTGCTTCCTTCGTTGGTAAGGAAACGTCTCAGGAAACCTTTGAGTAAAGGAGCCAATCTAAGGTAAGGTTTATTCATGATTCGCAAATGTAGCCACTTACGAAAGGAAAGGCGCTGATCTAAGGAAAGGAACCTTCCTGAATTCGGGGGTATGTGTGGAAATTGTCTGAAGCCCCTGCCGCGACTAGCAGACGAGCAGGAAAGTCACGCGAAGCCCATCAATATTCCAGAGGTCAGGAGAACAATAGACGATTTGCCAAGCTCGAAAACGCCAGGACAAGTCGGGTAGGGGCCCTATTGCTCGTGGTAGCGGGCGTCGGAATATCCGCGATACTTGCTAATTTGTACGCTAATTATTAAAAAGGAATAATTAACCTTTTATGTACTGAAAATGCGCATGGTTCTAATTACAAAATTGCTGAGCGTCTCCGAAATTCACTAAATCAGCAATTTTCGGAAATACTTTGAGCGCATGAGAAACGCAGGAAGTGCGGTACAGTTATTACTCGTGGAGCAGGTACAACGCTGGGGCCCTGATAAGAGGCGAAAAAATCGGGCAGGTGCCTTATCGAAACCGTTAGCCTTGTACCTGCTCTACGAATGGTAATTTTAGCGCACTATTGCGCATCTCTCGCGTTCAGTCTTTCTGAAAATTAATGATTTTCAGTTTGTTTTTTGATAACGCTCAGCAAATTTCCAATTAGAGCCATATGTCTATTTTCGCTAACTGAAAATCTAATTAGTCATTTTTTTAATAATTACGGAACTAATTAGTAATTATCGCTCATTTCCGGTCGTCCTCCAACACGAGCAATGCGGTTTCGAGAATATGATGTTTTTACTTCAATTACACTAATTTTAGGAATGTTCGACAGTCTTCGGTGAAACGCCCGGTTTATCAGAATGAACGATTTTCCCTTATGAAACGCCTCAACATGAATATGCTAAGGTTAGCTTTGTAAAAGACACATGCAAAACAGTCATTGTTTTCAAAATTAGTATTTGAGCGAGTAAAAAACAAATAAATTATTTATTTATTCATATTGAAGGTACTGCCCGCCCGCTTTAGAAGGACAATGTGTACGAGCAACAGAAGAAAGTGAGGGAAGCAAAAAATACACATAAACATTAAGTAAAACCAGTAAACAGTTTAGTCCTTTGAGTCTATTCTAATTTAAGTTCGCCAATTGCACAAAAAAGAAGAGAGCAAAAGAGACAATTACCGCCACGCTGCTGTGCAACTCGTTCCACTCGCAAACGGTATGCGAGAAAACAAAAAGAGTATATTGAAATAATATTTCTCCAACGGAACTCACGAATCAGTTTCTCGTCCTTTTGTCATGTGTCACGGCTCACGTTATCCTGAAGATCTCTATTACGCTATGTACAACTTTTAACCTCTGTACTTTCACTCCACGTGACAACACAGGTAGTCCAGTCGCAGCGTACAGCGGTGAAACATGTTATTCTTGCCACATTTTATTTAAATGAGCCAAATGCACGTTTTAACCTTTTCCAAATGGTCTACACACGGGCATGGATGAAGGTATCATAAACTTTCCGCATATTCTCGTAAAGGACGGATTAGAAACTTTTGCGCCGTTAGCTTTGTTCCAGGAGTACAGCACTGGTATGAAGACACTGTTTGCTTTGGGTTATCTTTATTCATCTCAGACAGAGGCATCAAAATTTCGTAGTCACCGTTTTGGCTTTTAGAAACATCAGGTAGTTCTCCCAAATGGACCTTATCATGCATATTCTGATTCGAACTTTCTCCTTAGAATACTTGCCTACCTTCACAGCATAATTCATTTTTGGATTTTAACTAAAACAATAAATATGATCTTTGTGAATTACTCACTGGGCAATTCCTATGGCTAGACGCTAACCTTCCCCGTGCGGTAAATATGTCACAATGTCACGCAAAAAAGTGGTTTCCCGGTTGTTTCCATTTACACAGCAAGTATTGTGATACTTGGGAAATCAAGCGGGAATTGCCGTGATCAAGACTTAAGTGAGAATCTGAATCTTATATAAGTATTTCCCAACTAAGCAATGACTTCACAAAATCTTGACGCACGTTGTGTCCCAGTTGACAACAAGCGAAGTAGAAGCAATAAGCTGGGAAGTCTCAGTTGTTCCGTTGTGTCTAATAAGCAGTAACTAATTTCCTAATAAAATTAAACTGGACGCGACAACTTCTTTTTAACTCTGACTGCTGGAAGTTTTATTTATACGCCGAAAGGAATCTGTGTAAAGTCGTGTATAGTCCACCGCTTCCAATTCCTTTCTTGTCCCTGACCATATCATGCTTGAAAATTATACTTGGGCACAAATTGGAGCTACATTTACTGGAACCGCACGAAGAGTTTTCAGACAGGATAATATTGGCCAAAGCTCGTTAGTATACCTCATTGGAGCAGCGCTGCAAGGGCGCATTTTCGCAGAGTGAAAACGTTAATTTCGGTATATAGTCATGTCTCGTTAATGTGAACCCCGTTAATGTTGACCCCGTTAATATGGATACCCCGCTATATGAACAGCATTTTCGGGGGACGGACTGGAATAATACCTGCACTTTTGTCTCTTTATTATGGACAACCCGCATTATGACCGATTTTTCGATGTGATAGAGATATCCATATTAACGTAACATCACTGTATCTTCTTTTTGTATCGAATTTTGTAAGGAAAATCGATGAAATCTATGATCAACAGCCATTTATTGAGCTAGACGCAAGCAACTTTGAATGTAAAAAGCTCAAGAAGAGGACGCGAATGATAGCTGTAACTCAAACTGCCGGTTGCAGATCTCTTATGTGTTTTTTAAAGCAGAGAAATGAAGACACAGATAACGAAATTGTCGGTTTAATCACTGAGATAAACAAAAACATGCAGCCAGACTGAAGTATCCTAATTGAAAGCTCCCCATCCCCCCCCCCCCCCCAAATAAGAAAAGTGAAACATATACAATTGAAAACGAGCCTGTTGGTTAATAGATACAAACCTTGAAAGTATAAAACTTGAAAGTATAAAGGACGTGGACGGGAACAGGACATCTTTGAAAGATGTCCTGTTCCCGTCCTCGTCTTTTTTACTTTCAAGTTTTATACTTCCAAGTTTTGTAAGAAACTTACGTAGCCAGTGGAGTTGGAGCAGCTGAGGTGTAGATGCAGATATCACTTCCTAATAGGGGCACGTCCGAAAGTCTCTGTCCCCACCCGTTCACTCTATTGCAATGTTTCGTCGCTCCTTCCCGTCCCGAACAATTCGGATCCCCTGCATTTAGCATTTTATTTATAAAATAATTCCAGTAAAGCCGACTATTGAAAATACACTTCTGCCGATGCTGATGCATATATCTGTGTCTGAGCACTTCTACAGAAAATACCATAAAGGGGAAATTTGACGAATGCAATCTAAAAGTTCACAATATTAACACCAAAAAAAATAACAAAAAAATAAATAAACAAAAAATGTTTTAATATAGCAATTTAAAAGAATGGCTACACTTATTTCCTGACCAACTTTAAAATTCGATGTAGAATATATTGTGAAAATAAATTAAACTTAAGCGGTCCAGTTTACATCAGATGTGGAGGCCTAGGGATATATATATAATTTAATAAGTGAACATGTGATTAATTATAATATTTAAATGTCACCAAAACGAGAAATATGCGATGTTTGGCATTTTAATTTCGTTTATGAAATATGCGATAGCAGTTTAGTTTAAAGAAAAAAACACGTACTGAAATCCGACTCACTGCCTTTTTTTTCTCGCCTACACACTGCCCGCTAATTTGTGGTCATATAGCCTTTTGGAAAGCAAACATCCCATGTTATCTACGACGATCCAGTAACGCCGTCATCTACTCGCTACTCCGCCGGTGTACATTTAATCTTTAATCCATTCCATTATCCGGCCGCCAGGCCGCGCTAATCTTCACTGCACATCAGGGTAAGAGAGCGCTCTTC